AAAGAAGGCTGATTAGACTGCAAAATAAATATTTTTATGTGAAATAAATCATTTTCTTTTTACTATGCATAATGATGATGATAGACTTTTCCGTTGATCGTTGTATGATGATCTGATAAACTCATTCAGTTTTTATATTTGTGTTGTATGTGACACCTCAGTCTCCCTTGTGACCTCCATACAAATTCACATATTGATTTCGGGACATAGCAACATGAATATTTACTGACGCTATTTGTCGTTGTCTTAGCCTGTCAATACGCTTGATTCCGAAATTTCTGATAACACTCTGGTACAAATATTTCCAGTTATTCATGCCCAGGGCAACTCACTCGAAGTTCATATGAGGCACATTGATAGCTGAGAGGGTGCTTCTTGCCTTGTCTTTATACCTGATCCACGACCGTTCAAAAGTCCTTTGTCTACCCTCAAGCTGGTTATACATGTGAACCTTAGGTATTCTGTCGTCACTCATCTTTGCAACATGATCAGCCCAGTGAAGTTGTGACTGCATCAGGAAAGTCTCATTTCCACCAAGGTTGCATTTTGCGAGAAGATCAGCATCGGAGACCCTATCGTCAAAAGTGTAGACACAGATCGCGCGGAGACAGCTTTTGTAGAATAAATCGAGATGATTGATATGGATCCATGTTTATGAGCCGTACAACAGTGTGCTCAAAACTGCTGCCCTATAAACTCGTACACGCTCACACACACATATATATATATATATATATATATATATATAGGGTGTCCATAAAATTCGTGTGCACTTTTAAAAATTCATAACTTTATTTGTATTTGCGATAGAAATAATTTGTAAAAAGGATTATAAAGAAGTAAATCTATATTTATTAAGGTTTCATTGAAATTTTATTTAAGTTTCCACATGTCCGCCATCATTAGCAATACAAAGGGTAATACGATTTTGCAGTTCACGGAAAACATTTGCCAACTGATTTACAGTAATGCCTGAAATCACATTAGTTATTTTAGCTGTACTTAAAACTAGGTACATTAAACTTTATAACATTTTTTACAGATTATTTCTATCGCAAATACAAATAAAGTTATAAATTTTTAAAGTGCACACGAACTTTATGGAAACCCTATATATATATATATATATATATATATATATATATATATATATATATATATATATTGGAATAATGGCATTTTGGCCGAAACTAATCGAGGAATCTAAATTAAATAATAATAAAAAACGAAAGAATATTAATCTACAACCCAGTGTGTCTGAAGATTTTAATTTTTTTTTATTTTTTTTTTTATTATATATATATATATATATATATATATATATATATATATATATATATAGGGTGTACACACATTAAGATCGAAGGTTATAATGAACACAAATTTGTATAGATATTAACTTTGAGAAATAAAAAAAGAAGGAAAAGTATAATGAGCCCGGTATATTGAATATAGCCTGAAAGAAAGAAAGAATCATTGAAATGTCTTGAATAAAAGGTAAGAAAGGTCACTGACTGGAATAGATTGGTACTGACACAGTGGATAAAGGCGTTGGTTAGATCCAGAGATAGGACCCAAAGCGTGTTAGTTCAATACCCGGTTAAGGCAGTGGAGAACTTTCAGATGGAAATTAACAGGAGATAACTGATAACTGGCATCCATTAAACATGGTACATGGAACTAGAACAGTCTACCCCAGTGAGCGAAATAAAGGGTTCAGTTCGACATTTCAGCCACCTGAAGAAGGCCGGAGCGTACCACAGCCGAAACGTTGTAATAAATACGGTGATAAAGATGAGCACAATAGTTCAAATAATGTAAATAGTGTAAATAATACCTCATTTCAGAAATATATACAGATGCTGAATGTATTAACATTTTTCATATATAAATGCAGATATTTTTTAAATGTCAGTATATAAATGTTTAGACAGAAGGAAAAATGATTATATTTATCGAGAGAAGTAAACATGTATCTATTTTCTTTCAGATTAACGTTTTTTCAAATTTTAGCAAGAAAGCAAAGAAAATTGAATTTTATATTTCACCAAATGTACTAAATTAACTTTAGTCGATGAGCAAAAGCATTCCCCCGTTTTTTTTGGGGGGGAGGCTTGGTGTAAACACTTTATTTAAACACACACAACAAACAAAAATAAACATACACAAAACAAACACGCACAGTTATATATATATATATATATATATATATATATATGTTGTTTAAAATTTGCTATATTTATAATTGAAGAGTGATCAATTACAGAAATATAACCTTTATATATATATATATATATATATATATATACACAAGTATAGGATTGGTGTATACGGAATACATTCCAATAACGGAAAAAATACTATTCTTAAAAGAGTGCTCAATACAGAGTAGACCAAATAGAATTTATTCTAAAATTATAACATAAATATGTTATAAAATCACTACAAAAATAGTGATTTTGTTTCAACACCTCTGGGGTCTTATCAAGTGATGATGTTGAATGTAGAATAAAACCTTTTAAAATATAGACAGATAAGTATCTGTAGTTTACATATCTTTTGATATATAGGTAAGACTTTTGATTATATTGTAATGTATAGGTAATTAGCTAGAAATAAAACATTCGATAGATTGATAGTTAGAAATAGATATTCTTTGGAAGCAAGCTATATGGAGTGGGTAAACTCAATACCATAATAGAAAATAAAGGATGAAACACGTAAAATATGGATAGCAGAAACATAAGTAGAAAGATGGATGAAGAAGAACATGAAAGAGATAAAGACAAAGAAGCAGAGAAAAGCGAAGAAACGTTGTAGAGTGTGAAGAACATACATAGAAAAGAAAAAATTGGTAGAAGCAGAAAAGAAAAAAAAATGAAGGAAAAAGGCGGGAAATTAAAATGAATGTGAGAAAGAAAACAACAGTAGGGAAACAACAAGAGATACATAATAGAGAGAAAAGAAATTAGAGAGGAATGATAAGAAACAAGTTAAAAACACCCTTTTTACTTGTGAAGAAGAGTATCATATCAAGCCTTTTTAAACGCCTTCAAAATACAGTGTGACCCCCAAAAACGGGAACATTTTAACAATGCAATAAAACCAAGAGTGATGGAAGAAAAATATTTTATTCATAGTAATTGGAACCTTAAAACATGCCATTTAAAAAACAATGATGGAATTTTAATCTTTTTAAAATTACGTCCTGTAGATGACGTCCTCCTTGAAATCTGCTGTTGAGATTCCTCGTTCACTGCTGCAACATCTCAGCTGGGATACTGTGAATTTCATCTTGAATTCTAAATGGCGAAATGTTTCCTTGCTCAAGGTCACTGTCTCGCAGTGTTGCCACTTGCTTATGTCTGGCAATACGCACTTCAAAAATTCCCGTTTTTTGGGGTCACCTTGTATTTAGAGCAATATTGTTTGTCGGACAAAAGTCCTTGCAAGATGAGATGCTTAACCAATACCGAGTTGATTAAAAACTCTAGTACGTTGCCTATTTTGCAAAACTGAGGTAGAACTGCAGAAGAGGATTTCTAACAATCTGGAAAGCTAGAAGCAATGATTTATCTATTGTAGAGCTTGGAGAGAATTAGGGGTCAGTTCAGTGAAACATTTTCTGAGGACGACTGGAAGTATGTCATCGAGTTCACAAGAATCAAAATATTGTTTTTATGTTGCTTATAATAGATGTTATTATAGACAACGCTTCAACCAAGTACCCGTCTGGCCATCTCCAGCTATCGAACTTTTAGGATGTCTGTTAGTTGTTGTGTCATTTCCTTGTTTGATACTGTAGTGACTACTCCAATTTACCACGCCCACAAAATACTCAGTTATAATTGGATAGAAAATAAGTACTGTTTACTACAGGACAATTTACCTATCGCAGTAACCACACAAAATGTTCTGCCATGCCTTTGCCTAACTTGGTTTTGTAAAAAAATCAGTGATTGGTCAATTTTTATCCAATCGTGTATTTTAGATATTCCTTTCGATATTTTTCCCGCTTCTCTCTGGAGCCTACCCAAAAAGTATTTAAACAGTTCGTACTCCAGAAATAAGTTAGTAGAACAATAAATCAACAGAACTCAGCAACGCACGCGTATCTACATTCTTCTACTCACGCACACACAGACATAAAACTACCATTACACTACACTGTTAACTGTCTGTCACAAGCCAAGTCACAAACCAAATTCTATTATCCTTTTTGTACAAACTTTTCATTCTTGAATTCAAATCTTATTCACTGAACTCTGAATATTTCAACAAGAAAGTTCTTAAGTACATTATTTCTATCTTGCCTCAGATATCAGATACAAGGGAAGCTACTTTTCTCTCCCTAAATATTATTAACACATAAGCACAATTGTTGTACTTGTTGATTTTCAATATATATTTTATTGTTGAATGCAATTTGATCTTTTGTTCTTCTTTCCTTGTGTTCTTTGCAAATTTAAATGTATGTGCTCTCACTAAAAACGCAGCCTCACTAACTGTCATACCTGAACGTACCTATTCTATTATTAATAGACTCTCCCACACATAATAAGTAGTAGTAGTAGTAGTAGCGGTCTCCAGTTGGGCTCAGTGGTGTTGAGTGAGTCAGTCGATGTCGGACATCACAACTAGTTTGCTGCGTCATTAACTCTTATTTCAAGTTCCTAATGTATTGTACGTCGAACCTAATTTATGACGACTTATTGAAATACAAGCCTCCACTGTGAAAACTACTCTACAACACTAACAACCTCATTAACAAATTTTAAAACAAATCTGAGCAGTACACCACGGAAAACAGATATAAGGAGATATGTCGTTCGCTTAAACCGAATGATGCAAACTTGAAACAAATTTAGAATCGTCTGAGAAACTTATTAAATGCTTTGAAATTCCCAATAAATAGCAAAGCAGTAGGCCATTTACAAATAAAAATACGGAATTTAGATTCAGGGCTTCGGTTTTCGATTCTTATAGGTGTGTCAGATCGATTAGGCTGTACGTGAGGAGACACCGCTTCCAGCCCTTTTTCTGCAAAGGTGTCGCATTGAAGTGAACCACCACTTGAACGCCTACAATAGAGAATTCAGATGATTTGGCCCTTAGTTCCCATTTTACCGATAATGAAAGAAAGGAAAGTATCATTTATCTCAATTTTACAGGAATAGGCAAGAAGAAAAAAAAAAAAAGAACGACCATTAATTTCACCGAAGAAACTTTTAGGTTAGGAATGAAACAAGAAAGAAGGGAAGAGAAAAGTAAGTGATTCCTCAAAGCCCCACAGTGAGGTAAGTAGAAAGAAAGAGAAAAAAAAACAGAAAGAGAATAATAATAATAATGAACTTGTATTGGCTTGAGTCCAATTCGCAAAAGAAAGAAAAAGGAATTAAAAGAAATAGAGGCCGCATATGGAATAAATACAAAGCAACGAACGGAAAATGAACAAGGTAAGAATAAAAAGCGAAAAAAAACGGACTGTAAGAAAAAAAGAAAAGAAATTAACTGGGTCAACTTGACCCACTATGGCCACCAGAATTATAAGGGTTTAAGTACCAAACCAAGCCAAATAAAGACAAGCCAAGACAATTCAAGCCAAGCCAAGCCAAGCCAAGCCAAGCCAAGCCTCTGTATTTATGTTAGTTTATTTATTTATGTTTATTTTATTATGTTTTTCAGCTTGATTATCAAACTTCGTAGTAGTAAAATGCCTAAAACACGTTGAAAGTTTTTCTTTATCTTCAGAACAGAAAAGAACAGACAAGTTTTTAAAGCCCAAATAAATATATAAATTCTCCAGTACGTAGTTAGTTTGTCACTATATGTATTTTACCATATTGTACAACTTAAAAACGCCCATCATAACATTTTAAGCGCCACGTACACACGGCTAAGAAAAATGGCCTTCGACAATTATCATCATGGCCATAGACAATAATATGATTGAAGGGAGATGTTATCATCATGGCCATAGGCAATAATATGATTGAAGGGAGATGTTATCATCATGGCCATAGGCAATAATATGATTGAAGGGAGATGTTATCATCATGGCCATAGGCAATAATATGATTGAAGGAAGATGTTTCTCCATCGCAAAGCATCACCATGGTTCACCATCGGAAAGCATCACCAAAGCATTTGTTGTGACATAATCCTAAAATAGGAAAATTGACGCAGACACGTTGGAGCACATTATACGATTTAGTCACGTAAAGAATTCTTTTATAGTCCCAGTAAATAGAAATAGCTCTCTCAATGAGGAGAGTAACAAAACTCTCGATTATTCATAACACGTATATCAATAAATTATTCTAAATGAAGGACTTCATTAAATGTTTAATTTTAATCTAAACAAAAGATATAATTATATCTAAGTTCACAAAATTCGTTGCAAAGATTTTATTATTTCACCATCAAAACACTTGGAAGCCACCATCAAACTGCACCTCCACATCGCGCATAAATTAAAGTTCGAGGGGAACAGAACAATATCTGTACCTATGTGGGTGGAGCTCCACTTTAAAAACGTTACACTCTAGCCTCGTGGGATAGTGGGGAAGTATAAACTGTATGTGTCTATTTATAGCAAAAGTAAGATATTATTATATCGTCTAGTTCCAGGGGATCTGTTCCTTTAGGCAAAACCTCCCCATTTCATTGGACAAGTAAAATCCTCTTTTAGAAATTCTACGATAAGAATGTCTTTCTAGATTTCACAAGATTCTCGCAAAATACAAGAATTCTATCATTACATGGTTTATTGCTATTCATGAATAAGAGTATTTTTGGATTGAAAAATGTTTACATGGCCACAATAAATGATGCAAAGGAACCAAACATTTAACAACAACACAAAACTACACACACACATATAGGTTCAACAACATCACTTGATAAGACACTGGAGGTGTTGAAACGAAATGTCTATTTTGTAGTGATTTTATAACATATTTATGCTATAATTTTTAAATAAATAATTATATATATATATATATATATATATATATATATATATATATATATATATATGAAAATTTCTCAGAGTTAACCTGTAGAAAAGACAATATTTATAAATGTAAATGACAATAGGAAAACTGTAGTTATTGCTGACGCGTTTCGTCCAATGTGGACTTTCTCAAAGCAAAAAACGAAATGAATTTAATTAAAGAACGTATCTAGTAATAACAAAAAACAGAATGTTCCTAGCAGCTGGACGAATGTAGAGAAGGCTATTTTCATATTGTTAACTGAAAATAACGTCAGTTATTGTCACGTGTGGAGAATATTGTCATTATAACTGTGTTGATTTTAAAAATGCTACACTCATAAAAAAAAGAAAATAACTCACTTAGAGGGAAAATCCTAGAGAGCGCAGCCATTGAATATTATCCAAATATTAATCTACGCCCAGGCCTTTTCCCTGTTTCACCTTTCCTTTACTGTCCCAAACAAACGTACGCAACAATATCGTAAAATCAAAAAAAATGGTTGAAGCCGTCAACACAGTTGAACAAAACGAGTCAGCAATAACCTATTGTCATTTATATTTATATTTATAAATATTGTCTTTTCTACAGGTTAACTCTGAGAAATTTTCATGCATATACACACACACACACACACACACACTCGCATATATATATATATATATATATATATATATATATATATATATATATTTAAATTACATGATCCAGCAGCCTACAGTACTATCAATACTTGGAATTACAAATGTAGCCTTGTTAAAAGACAAATTGAAATAGCAAAAGAAAAATTACATCTTTGATATTCGCTTATGTAAGCCGAAAGCTTAGATTGTATTAAAAAAAAATATGGATCAATATTGTGAATTTCTTTCTTCGTTCAACGATAATGTTATTAAACTTATCAGACGTTACGAAAAAATTTTACCTAAAATAAATAGACAACACTTGTCTATATTATTTAATGAAACGTGCATGAATATATATATATAAAGAAATGGACACGGTCCGACAATTTATTTATTAAAGACATTTTTATGATTAACGTTGTTATTTTATAGATACAAGTATTTAAGTAAATGCTCTGTTTATGATAAACAGTATTAGATAACATTTACCGGCCTTAATGTCCGAGAAATTTCCATAGAAAATATTCGTTCTTGGACAGGATTCGAACCTGCATCCTATACGGAACCGTCATATACGCTGACGTGCCTTACCTCTAGGCTACAAAGAACCGTTCGGTAGACAAGGTCGAATTTACTGCTTATAAACTCCAATCTTCCATGAATCTCGTACATTCATAACTGCTCTGGCGTATCGAATGTAAACAAATGACGTCATATATTAAGAAATGGACAAGGTCCGACAATTTATTTATTAAAGACATTTTTATGTTTATATATATATATATATATATATATATATAAAAGGCTCAAACACTAATATTCCATGGTTATAATTTATTGCATTGGAATCGTAATCACGATCAAATCATCAGACATACAAATTCAAAAAAAATCGGAATATATATATATATATATATATATATATATATATATATATATATATATATATATATATATATCGGATATTTTCCGATTTATTTTTGAAATTTAGGTCTGATGATTGAGCCTTTTATATTATATTCTTACTCTGTCCTGGACATTGAGTTCTGGATTCTATTCTCTCTCTCTCTCTCTCTCTCTCTCTCTATATATATATATATATATATATATATATATATATATAATAAATAAATCTCTCTCTCTCTCTCTCTCTCTCTCTCTATATATATATATATATATATATATATATATATATATATATATATATTTGTTTGAATAAGAACAGGCCACTTTATGGTTCCATGTAATAAGTTATTTCACCACAACCCTTTTAAAGGGCTCTGGATCATCAGACTTTACTTCCAAAGGTTGAAATGAAAAATGAAATGAGGTGAAATAACTTATTACATGGAACCTTAGAGTGGTCTGTTTTTATTCAAACATATTTGCTCTGAATTTACATTGAGCTCTCTGGATATCATCCTCTTTGGGTCTATCCATACGGATTACCTAGTTTTAAACTAAATATATAAATATATATATATATATATATATATATATATATATATATATATATATATATATTGACCACTAATGTTATCTATCTATCTATCTATCTATCTATCTATCTATCTATATATATATATATATATATATATATATATATATATAGGCACAGACAATGTTTCGTCTAATAAAAGTTTAGTTCATCGATAGCAAATACTTTGCCAAATATAATCTGTTGATGCCATGGTCGCAGAGAATATAAAATAAATTTTACCGCCCTACAGTATAAAATTGATGGAACCCTTCTCTCTCTTTCCGAATCACTCACTCACTCTCTCGCCACCCCTTATATATATATATATATATATATATATATATATATATATATATATATATATATATATATATGTGGGGGGGAATGTTTCCTGTTTTACTGTGTGGAGAAAATTAAGTAATGGGTTTTCTTGTTTTTACGAAGCTCTGGCCACGAAATAGCCTCTGTAATCCCAGCACTGGATGTTTCTTGTTTCTGTATTTGAAAGAAAATAAATTGTTGTCATTCATGATCTATGTTTGCTTCGATCGATGTATCGATCCATTGATCAAAGTGTCCTATTTTAGTGCTGCAGCATTATATGAAGAATTCAGTGGAAAGGTGTTTGGCTGCATCGCTGCACATAAAATCCGAATTGAAAGGCATTGCACATTCGTAAAGAACCACTCGACTATACGGACAAGAACATTTTAGAAGAATGCAGTCATATGATTATATTTCGATGAAAATTCCCGTTAATGGATAAATACATAAAGGTTATTTTTCATCAAAATATGTTCATTTTTGCTAAGGGTAAGAGAGATTCATATTTGGTTTGCAAATTGTAAAGTTTTAGTTGCTTTTGCGTGAAAATCGTCACTGAAAACGTCCAGAAAACATCCAATGTAATGTTAAGGAAGACGAAAAAATAATTGAATAATATAATTTTATAAAATCTTTCTCATATTATTATTTTTTATTCTAATTGTTACATAGTTTCGTGAAAGATGAAAGTTGTTGAATTCAAGTTAAAAACCATAATCCAAACTCATTTTAAAAGCTCGCATTTCTATTTCCAATGATTCCTTACCTTAGGTATCCGAACATTCAAATCTGCTAAATCCTATTCATTACAGTTCTTGAAGTTTAATCAGTCAAACTGATTCCAAGTCAACGACAATCTTCATAAGTTGTATTAAAGAACATTTTCAAAACTTTGAGAATAACTGACACGAATGAATAAAATGAAATTTGAACATAAAAATGAACGTAAAGAGTAAGGAAAATCAATATTATGAACTGAAATGCTTCAAGAACATTTTCCTACTTAACAGCAAAAACTCACTGTTACATTTGTTTTACAAATCACGTTTTCTATTGGGCAAGAGAATATTTACTGATCATCATCAGTTAATAGATTATAAAAATTCTTTGTTCAACTAGCAACGCATTTGAATATTAGAACATTATTTAACAAACAACAGTGAAAATTCTCCTCATTTTGGTTTGGTTTTTGTTTTGCTTTACGGCATATCAACCTTAATGGTTTATTTAATGCCGACAAGATTTTTAGGATGGGTTCGCATGAATAGAATATGTATTCTTTGGCTTGGTTTGGTTTGTTTTACGGCATATCAACCTCAATCGGTAATTTAGTGCCGACAAGATTTTTATTGCTAATAATATTCTTCAAAAAAGTATTGCTGGTAATGTTTTTTTTCCAAAAATATATGATTGGTAATAATGTACTGCTAGTAATAATTTTTTCTTCAAAAGGTCATTGCTTGTAAAAAATTTTTTACAAAAATGTATTGTTGGTATTAAAAACTATTTTTACACTTTCCTAGTATTTTGACCCCTTTTGGGGGAGGTTAACTATTTTTCCATAGCTGGGGCCCTAAAAAGGTACTACCACTCCGGGTAAGGGTAGACATGGGAACGTCAGCATTTAAGAGATGGTTCCACGCTCCTCAAAACCTCATGATCAGAGGCCTTGCTGTTAGATATAGTTTATCGTCTTACCTAGGACGCGGATGTAGTTTATCGCCATACTCTTTGGAAAACACCAGACATGTTTATCTCCTCTTGAAGATCCGTCTTACGACTGATTCCATTTGTTAAAAGGTTAACAGAAAATAAACAAAAACTGCATAAACAGTAAAGGTTCTAGGAATTTACAAACCTTATCAAAATGCCGTACGTTGCAAACATACTTTCCGATGCATCCAGAAATTATATTTATTTTTATAATTAAGTTCTTACGTTTAAAGTTGCATTTTTTAAATTTGTTATTATTCCGAGTTCTATGTGATCTCATAAGCAAAAATTCAGATATAATTAAATATTTATTTATATAGTGTTGCTCTTATCTAAAGTAATGTGTGCTCTTTCGGCCTTATACTTTTTAAAATAAAAATATAATGAGTTGTACAATTATAATAGCGTAAATGAAATTGTTTCTCATTTCTTTTTCTCTCTACAAGAAAATCTCAGTCTTTATTGAATTAATGGTCGTTTTTTATTAAATCTATTCAATTGGAGAACTTCGATCGGGTCTGTAAATTTTATATCACCTTCTGAGCTTTTTTGTTGCTGTTTACTGAACTTGAACATTTAAAGTCTCTAGTTATATTCTATTTAATTATTTATATTTTATTAAGTGGAAATATTTATAAAAATGTCATCTAAAACATTGTCTTCTTCAAACGTCAAATATTATCAAATAATTTTTTTTTATTAGCAACAGATATTCACATTTTATCCCAGCGTATATGTCCAATAGGTTTTTCTTTTATTTTTAAGGGAAATTTACAAAATATTTTTTCTTTCATTTCATTTGTTTGTTATGGATGATTTATCTTAAGAAAAAAGCGTTTGCATTTTCATCTCATCTACTGTGTATGACGGGAGACTTGTTCAATGATTTTCCACCCATAATTGCCATAATTTCATAAATACAAGGAAACAGTACAAGGTAAAACTCTATCTTGTCCTTGTATTAGATTGGTCTTAGCTAGCAAACCTTTACTGAACAGGTCATTTATACAAGTTACGCTGTCTATTGGACACCAAGTGCAGAAATGTATGAAAAAAGAATTGGGAAAATTATTAAAAGTAATTGTATGATGGAAAAGAGAAGATAGAAGAGAATTGAAAAGGACTGAAAAGAACTGAAAAGGACTGATAAGAACGGAAAAGAATGACTGAAAAGAACTGATAAAAACTGAAAAGAACTGAACAGGACTGAAAAGGACTGAAAAGGACGACTGAACAGGACTGAAAAGGACGACTGAACAGGACTGAAAAGAACTGAAAAGAACGACTGAAAAGGCCTAGAAATAAATAATTGGAAAAATGATGGAGGACGAGGAAAAAATGAGAAAAAGACGACATGAAAGAAAGGGAAGAATCTGCACGAAAGAAATGAAGCAAAAAAAAACGAAAGCGACGAGTTGGAAAAAAAGAGGAAAATTGATGGAGGACGAGAAAGGAAAAAAAGTGAGAAAGGAAAAGGGAACGACATGAAAGAGGAAAGGGAAAAGAATCGTAGGGGAAAGCGAGAAAGGAACGAAGGAAATGAAGCAAAAAAAACGAGAAAGGAACGAGGGAAAGCGAGAAAGAACATGGAAAGGAAAAGGAACAGAGGAAAATTGAGAAAAAAATGTAGGAAAGGGAGAAAGGAACACGTAGGGAAAGCGAGAAAGGAACATGTGGGAAAGCGAGAAAATGTAGGGAATGCGAGAAATGAACATGGGAAATGCGAGAAAGGAACATGTAGGGGGGAAAGCGAGAAAGGAACATGTAAGGGAAAGCGAGAAAGGAACATGTAGGGGAAAGCGAGAAAGGAACATGTGGAGGAAAGTGAGAAAGGGAACATGTGGGGAAAGCGAGAAAGGAAATAAGGAAAGCGAGAAAGGAAACATGTAGGGGAAAGGAGAAAGGAACATGTAGGGAAAGCGAGAAAGGAACATGTAGGGAATGCGAGAAAGGAACATGTAGGGAAAGCGAGAAAGGAACATGTAGGGAATGCGAGAAAGGAACATGTAGGGAATGCGAGAAAGGAACATGTAGGGAAAGCGAGAAAGGAACATGTAGGGAAAGCGAGAAAGGAACATGTAGGGAAGCGAGAAAGGAACATGTAGGGAATGCGAGAAAGGAACATGTAGGGAAAGCGAGAAAGGAACATGTAGGGAATGCGAGAAAGGAACATGTGAGGAAAGCGAGAAAGCGAGAAAGCGAAAGAGATACTGAATGATAAATTGAAAAAAGAAATAATTGAAGAAAAACTGGAAGAAAACGCAAAAAAGAAAAGGGAAAAATTTCCAATAAAGAAACGCGAGGAGGCGACAAAAGAGAAATATTGGGAAATGCAGAATAAACTCTTGGAAATAGTGAGGAAAAATGGGTAGAAAAGACACGAAAGAAACGGGGGCAAGGGGTGAGGAAGGAGGGAAAATGGGTAGAAAAGACACGAAAGAAACGGGGGCAAAGGGTGAGGAAGGAGGGAAAGTGACAAAAACTTTAGAAAAAGTTGATAAAGAAACGGTTTAAAAAAGAGAAAGCCGCGAAGAAAAGACTGAGAATAATGAGCAGAAAATTCATGGAAAACCTGGAGAAAAAGTGAGAAAGAAACGGTAAAATGTGAGGAAGAAACGGTAAAAAAGTAAGGAAGTAACGGTAAAAAGTGAGTAAGAAACGGTAAAAATGTGAGGAAGAAACGGTAAAAATGTGAAGAAGAAACGGTAAAAAGATAGCGACGAAGAAACGGTAAAAAATGTCGAAGGAACGGTAAAAAAAATGAGAAAGAAACGGTAAAACAGTGAGAAAGAAGCGATAAAAAGTGAGAAAAAAACGGTAAAAAGTGAGGAAGAAACGGTAAAAAGTGAGAAAGAAACGATAAAATGTGAGGAAGAAGCGATAAAAAGTGAGAAAGAAACGGTAAAAAAGTGAGGAAGAAAAGGTAAAAAAAGTGATGAAGATACGGTAAAAAAAGTGAGGAAGAAACGGTATAAACGTGAGAAAGAAACGGTAAAACCGTGAGGAAGAAACAGTAAACAAGCGAGGAAGAAACGGCAAAAAAGCGAGGAAGAAACGGTAAAAAAGCGAGAAAGAAACGGTAAAAAAGCGAGGAAGAAACGGTAAAAAAGCGAGGAAGTAACGGTGTGGAGGCAAAAGAAATAAAAGAAACAATGGTGAATATAAAAATAGGTAAAAAAAGCAATAAAAGGGGGAGAAACTTGACATATTGGAGGAGAAAAGAAGCTGATAAAAGTGGAAGAAAAAACAGAAGGAAAAAGTTAAAATGAAAATGGAAGAAAAAGCGAAACAAAAAGAAAAAAAAAGAAAAAATGTAAAATCAAAAAAGAAATGAGAGAATAACTCAAGAAAGAAATGTCATGAAAAATTTTTTGGAACGTGTGAGAATTTAAATAAACCACATTAATAACAATGAAAGGAACATGAAACGGATGAATCTGTGTCAGCTTAATTCAGTAGGAAAATGATTAAAACAGTTTCCGATTTTATTGAAAAAGTAAAACAAACAAATATGCAAAAAGAAATGATTTTGTTATCGATGTAAACGAGAATGAATTCATTTCCTCAGAAAATAGTCAATCTGTGAAATAAACTATGCTCACGGGGTTCTTTTTAGTGAAGGAGACGTGTAGCATAATGGTGGTTTAATTTCGAGGTTTGTGGCTCATTCATTTATCAATAATCGAAACAGTGCAGTATGTTAAAGGAAGGTAAGCGCCTCAGAGAAAAGAAAAAAAAGTAACATTTAAAGAAAGAAAATGAATTTTCTATTCCTGAATATATTCGCAGTAAATTTTTGTTACAACTTGAATGGAATCAGGTATTCTGTCTTTATGAAGTTTTGTTGCTCAAGGAACATTCAACGCGAACAGCAAATATGTTTCTTCAATTATTTTGCTATGTTTACTTCGCTTATATAAAACACCAAACTATTTTGTTCTTTACATTTTTCTGACGTACTCATTGACAGAAAATCAAAACGTTCAGTTCTGTGAATTTGTTTTGTAAGGATTTTTCTGGATTTTCTTTGTTGCCTCGTTTCAAGTTGGACGGATTTCAATTCATTTTTCATGACGTTATTTTCTCAATATCCCTTATTTCGCGAGGACGCTTGAACATACAATCATTTTTTCATTAATTTATTTCCTAATATCCCTTGTTTGGCGACGACAATTGAACGTTTAAATCACTTTTTCATGATTTTATTTGCCAATATTTTCAGAGTTTATTTTCTAACGTGTTGGGATCTCTTGTGTGTGGGTGGATATGACTGTATATGTGTGTTTGAAACAATGTCAGGATTTACTTGAAATAATTTATTCTTATTGTTCGTTTACTGCGAGCAATTTTCGGTTATGCAAGCACTTAATTTACCTTTAACTTAAGCATTGAGAATTACAACGTCTGTTAGTAAGATCTATCTGTAAGGATGAGTTTCTATCTGATAACATCTGGGAATTGAAAGAAACAAAAAAGATGAGAATAAAAAGCAAAAAAAAAAAAAATGCAGAAGGAAAGAATGAAATTTCAAAAAAGAAAGAATTCGGCTTAAAATATGATAATTCCTGATCCTAACGAAGATCAGAATAATCTCATGAGAACTTCCTTATATGTGGAAAAGAATAATGAAGAGAATTAAAAAAATGTCAAAAAAAATTTTGAAACCGAAGAAATAGAGGAAAACTAGATAAACTTTGGTGAAGATTTGGAAAAAAATCAAGAAATGATGGCAGCAGTGAAGAAACGCTGATAATGATGAATCTTGGAATTTCCAAAATTTGAAAATACATTTAAATATTCATTATTCTAATTTTACGATCTGGATATAATTTTTATCACTTTTTTTTATTAAATCGTTACAATATATTCCCTATAGGCCTCGACTACTATTTATTAATATTTTAATAGCCCTGATAATCATTGATGCACTACAAATTAGACTAACCGCGCTTTAAAAGATAACAAATTTACAGATATTCAGTAGAATTGATATGATATTGACTATGAAAATATAAATTGAGCAAGATTCTCGACATGTGAGATCTGATGGCTAGCAGACATTTTTCGGCTAAAGATGAAAATGATCATCAGTCAGTTATGTCCCATGTGTGATACACACTTGCCGATCACATATCTTTCGATACATGATTATGAAACAGGTATGTCCTGCTATTTACCCATAGCTGGGGTGGGGAAGAAGAGGAGGATTCACACCTTTCCCAAAGGTAAGTGAATGTAATAGATTCGACTGGAATTCGAACTCAGCTCTCCGACTCCTCAATACTAGCTGCTATCAATTACTCCACAGTGCCTAAAATAATAGGTTACTACAAAAGTAAGATGTCTGCTTTTGTCTTTTATGATGACTGATATTGATGGCTACGTGTTAACTTCAACCTTGAAATGCCTTTGTCTAGTTGTTGATGGTCACACCACAAGACGACATTTACGACGAGAATGTTTAAAATAGTAACAAGACCTTTGGATGGATAAAGGGATAAAAGATTGATTTTGTCAATCAAACTGGAAAAGTGTATGAATGTAATAAGTGTGAAGAGAGAGAGAGCGGGGGAGAGAGTTGGGAGAGAAAGTGAAAGGGAAAGAGAAAGAATGGTTGATTTGTTTATTATTAAATCCAGAAGTAGATCAGCAAACTGGAGATTCAATATCCAATGTTTTAAAGTTAAACAAGTGATAACAGATTTTATATCTGAAAGAAAAGTGTGCTTTCAAAGAAGCAAACATAATTTGTTTTTTGAAATTCCTCCGAGGCCAAATGCAGAATTTGCAGAAAATGATTTATTATAGAGAAAAATAAGAAATTAATTGTTATAATATTTTGTCGTTGGAAAATCCTGAGCGAGATTAAATAGTCGTGATATTTCTTAAATTTCCATAAGGTTTATTTACTTTCTTTGATATTAAATATTAAACTTTATTGTCCAATTTTCTCATTCATTGAAAATACAGCGCCATTATTCATTTCTTAAAAAATTATGCAAACACCGATTCCTTAGAAACTCTCTTGATATTGACATGCATGACAATTATTTTACATGAATGTGATTTAAACCATAACTGTTGAAAATCTACAAGATTCCCCGGATCAAATCTGTCTTAATCTCACCATCTTTGTTTGTATAATCACGCTATTCTTACCGATATATAGCTCGAACAACTCATCGTAATGTACGCATTTCGTTGTTCTTAAGACACGTTGAGAACTTTTTATTTAATCAATAAGGATATTATGGATCAGAAAGGGCAAAATCTTGTATCACATAGGAAATTATTGGGCCTCGCAGACACACAGACAGATACACACAAAGACACACACATATATATAAATATATATATATATATATATATACACACACACACATACACATATATATATACATATATATATATACATACACATACACACACGCACACATATATATATATATATGTGTGTGTGTGTGTATGTGTGAGTGTGTGTATGTGTGTGCATATATATGAAGGTAATTCAGTGTTAGAAACTCTGACTGACTCAAAATCGGTTGGGTTTCGATCCGGGCTTAGGGCATTCGGATGTCTAGTCGCACTGAGCAGCTGTGATACAGCGAAACACTAGTGTCTGGTGAATGACATATATATATATATATATATATATATATATATATATATATATATATATATATATATAAGCCTCATGAGTGAAATTGGGCAGACGGAACTCTTGCGGGCCGTCGAAAGCTGGTCTAACACGAAGCCATAAGTCATCGTGCGTCAGGGCTTGAACGTATTGGCCATTGTTCAAATTGTTTATCACGCTAGATAACACGCTGTCTTCCAGAAACTGTAACTCTGTAGCTGTTCAGCAAGAACAAAATGTGCCTGAGCGAGCGTCAGCAATACGCTAGCCACTAGCTAAACGGGTATTCACGAATACCCAGCTATTATATATATATATATAGCTATATATATATATATATATATATATATATATATATATATATATATATATATATATATAAGCCGCAAACGTTTTTTGGTTGCAATGAGGATTTGAAAAAAAAAATTATGTTTTATTTTCCATAGTAGAACATAAAAACATATTTTTTTAAATGGAAAATAAAACAATTTTTTTAAAATCCACGTTACAACCAAAAAATGTTTGCGGCTTCTCTCTTTTTCAATATACACACGTTTCTCTCGTTGGAACTACTATAATAACTTTCTTTTATATACATAAATATATACATACATATATATATATATATATATATATATATATATATATATATATATATATATATATATATATATATATATATATATATATATATTTGAGCAATGAAAAAAAAAAAATTAAAAATTAAAATCTTCAGACACACTGGGTTGTATATTAATATTCTTTTGTTTTTATTATTTCAGTTAGATTCCTCGACTAGTTTCGAGCAACATGGCCATCATCAGGAGAAAAAAAATGCTTGCTAGTAGCACTGAACTAGAGAAATGAATGTCTTGATGGAGAATATATATATATATATATATATTTAAATTATTTACATAAAGTGAACAAAAATTCTCTTTATAAAGTTCACAATCATGTAAATTAGTTCAAACATGAAGGAAACACACACACACACTTATATATATATATACTGCTGTCCAAAATCTTAAAGCAAATGAGAATAAAGAAAAAATATACCTTTTGCGTTGTTAAGCCCAATCCCTTATTTCAGTAGACTTCGAAAAAATATTTTTTATCATTTAATAGGGATAATCTAAATATTGGTAAATTAGGTTAAATGCTGGCTGATATATAAGCTTGTATATGCCGTTTTATCATTCCCTGAAAGAATTGTGAGCCTGAATGTTTTTTTAAAATGTATTTGAGAAGAATTCACTTTCTATAATTCAAAATCGCCATAATGTAATTCAATTGAAGCGTACAATAAATATTTATGTTCACTAGAAATATATCTCATGATTTTCAGGGCTTAAAAGCATGTAGTTATTTCAGAGAACAACGTTTTAAAGTCCATTTCCCACAAATGCAAATCATTCCCGTTCATCTTCAACGTTTCGGAATGAGAATGATTTTCAATTAGGAATTTTCATGAAATAAATGTCATATACATAAGAATCCAAACAATCTCTTAAAAGCTTTTTGAAGTTGATTAATGAAGTGAATTTATTTGTTTGCTGACAATAAAGTTAAATGTATTGTTTAAAAGATACAAAGTTTCATTTTTGACCTTTGTGTATATATTAGAGTCCCCAATATTCTGAAATGAAAAACTCGTTCATATTTTTCCAATATTTTTCAGAGATGATTTTCGGTCGGAAACTGCTTTCGGAATCATTCTGGAGCCTCTTGCTTGTGTACAAAAGCATGTTCTGAACAAAACAAAAAAGATTCTCGTGTATAAGTGAAGAAATGACTTGAATGTGATGAATAATCTTTTTACGTTGCGTTGACGCACAAGAAGGAATTCGATTAGCTTGACATCGGAAATTTTGAATTGTCACAGAATGAAAATTCATATATAGAAATTATAACCATTGCTGTCGGATAGAGGAATATTTTAGCTTATGAGTTATCAATTAAAGATGTTATAAACCAGTCTTGATCGAAAAAATTGTTAGATATTATGAACTGAATGAATAAGTTGGAAAACGTTTTAATTTGTTGATAAACTTCATGATCAAAGCACCAGTATCTCAGTCAATTACGCGCCATGCTTGATACACGCCTAGGCGATCATGTATCTTTCGATACACGACTAATGAGGTAGATTTTTTCCTCGCAGTATGTTGCCATTTCTTTCTGCAGTAAACTAGTTGCCATCCAAGGCTACAGAATCCAGTCTGTCCTGCTATTTACCCATAGCCTGGGGGGAGAAGAAGAAGGATTCATACCTTTCATTCCTCAAAGGTACTCCACCAGATTGAGGTGAATGTAATGGATTCGACTGGAAATTCGAACTCGGCTCTCCTCAATCCGTTGGTTAGAATGTCGAATCAATTTCAACTCACGAATGGATGTCCACTATCCATTCTCTTTTTGGTCCAATCCACCAG